CACCACCAGGATCGTCACTGTCAGCTCCACACCACCGGGATCTGCACCACCAGGACTGTCACCACCAGCACTGCACCGCCAGGATCTGCACCACCAGGACTGTCACCTTCAGCGCTGCACCACCGGGATCTGCACCACCGGCATCGTCACCTTCGGCTCCATGCCGCACCCTGCACTCAGCCTCACGCGACCACAGCTCCACACACCTCCAGATTTTTCTGTTAAATTCCTTTGATCTCTTGGTGTCTGTTGGTTTCGCTCACCCCTCTGGTACCTTGTCGAAATGGTCTGTCGTGCCTTTGGACAGTTTCAGCGGTTTCATGGCAAGGGTTTTACAGGAAGCAAGACAAAAACTCCCTTAATTATTTGCTAGTGACAATTTTCTTAGCGCTGGCAAAAGCAGGTAAAGGCAGGCCTTAAGACAGAAGCCAAACAGAAAAGGAAAGTTACTGGTTTCAAACCTTCCTGTAAAACTACACACATTAACTGTCAAAGCACCTCTGAAAACGCAGCGTTTTCCGGGGTGGAACATGGCAACAGTTTTCACAACACGGAGCAGAAGTTGTACAACTGTTTACAACAGAGCCTTTCTATGGTAGCCACGAGCAGATGGCAGAGAAGCAAATTGCGATTTTCATTAACCATTTCAGTTCCCTAAGGAGCTGGCAAATATCCTCTGCTTCCAGTTCCATGTCACCACAGAGGAGGGGTGACACAGGGATGAAAGACACGCAATAGCGGCCGCTGGGTACGATGGAGAATGAACTCCATTTCCCCAGATTCTGCAGGACGACGGGAGCCCCTGTTCAGCCTTACAAAGTCAAATTGAGGAGATCAACCCAAAACTTCAGGTCCTGGACATGAACCTTCCCAAAGTGCCAGCGATTTCACCTCACACTGTTTGACTCCAACTTCCCCGCAGGGGAGGAGGAGGAGGACGCCAAGATCCAGGTTTACTTCAAGCACTGTTTACTCTGGTTTCAAGATCGTGTGCTGATAGCAAACCTGGGGAGTTTATTTACGGGAGCCTAAATTACGCCAGATCACAGCAACCAGGGCTGTTTGGGAGCAGGAAGAGGAAGCTGTGCAGAGATTTTTAGGGAACCACAAAGTACGAAGCTCTGTGGTTTCTCGGGCGTTATCTTGATCGGGTCCTGCGCAGCCTCCACTTCAAAGGTTGCAGTGGGTCTCAACAGATCAGAAGGGAAGATTGAGTCCCGAGTGTCTGAAGCGTTTTAATTAAATGACTCATTCACAGAAGGAACTTGCAGACAACCCAAGACTTATCTGCTTTAAGGCAAGCAGGAGGGAGCGACAAAGACAACACTTGGCCGGGCATTGCAAGGAAACCCCACTCAGGGCAACAGCAGAAAAACTGAAATACCAACCTCGTCTCCCCATGCGAGATTTAAAACAATAGAATCAACATTTGATCTCCCCTAAAGTCTCCCCGCCCCTGCTCAGCATTAACTGTGAATGTGGGGAATCGCAAGCGTGGCCATCCCCGCTGCTCCCTGCCCTGCTCTCCAAGAGAGCCGGGCTATGAACATCTGCTGTTTACAAGTGCTCGGCCCAAGGCTGCCAGAATTATTCTGCATCTTCTACTCGGAGGCAAAGGCTGCCAGAAAGCCATCTGAACGTCATGCTGGGACATCCTGGACATGCAGCGCTCCAGATGACAATCGCTACCCGGTATCCTGCTTCCAAAGATTATTGTGATTTAAAACACGGCCTTAAAATAGCATTGTCTTGTCTCTTTTTTTTTTTTCTCCCCAATTTCTCCCTTGGAAGGAATCACCCACGGTTTGCCACGGTTTTATGCTGTTCACTGATTATTTGAACAGGCAAACGCCTTGAGAACAAAGTCCCGTGAAGCAGCAGAGCCGAAGCCTGCAGTCGCAGGTCCTGGTTTCCCTGGGTGGGAGGGAGCCTGAGCCTTCCCCGGGGACGGGGACGGGGCCAGAGCCCCCCGAGGCCCCGCAGGACGACGGATGCTCCCTTGCCGCACCAGACCTTTCTTTAGGCAGATCCTCGAGAAGCAATGACCACACCAAGCTGGGGACCAAGGGGCTCCTCCAACAACCGGAGTTACGAGACCTGAGCTGTGAAACGCATTTCTTTTTCCTCCAGCCCTTGCATCTTACGCAGGGATTTTTACCAACGGGTACCAAAGAAGCCTTACCAAACATACACATTTTTTATGAGTATTCTCTTTCATAGTCCGTTCTAATTGAAAAAACATTTTCAAAAGAGAGCAGGCCAAGTGAGGTCTAACAGCCATGGTAGAGTAGTTAAAAGCAAGGAAAACCTGGGATATATCCAACTGTCATCGACTCGTATGTCACCTTGGCTAAACCAATCTGTTCCCCTTCTTCGCAGGCATAAAATGAGAATAACACACACCTACCTCTGTAAATCATTTTAAGATGCTTGAGTGAAGCTCACTTCTAACTGCACAACATGAAGCACCCTTTCAGTCCATCACTGGCTACACACAGTTTGCTGTCAAGACCCAACCTGCATTTCAAAACCCACATGGAAAACGTAGCCAGCTGATCGTAAGCTGATCTTGGACACATCTACGGAACACACACCCGATGCAATGCACTTGTCAGAAACCCAACAAGGCCTGCACTTCGCACTGCTCCTTCCTTTACGCGTGTGCTTTCAGCAGCCTGGAGGGGGACGGGAGGAAGCCACAACACCCAGTTTGAAGGGTCAGCCCGAAGCCTCCTGGCCTGGACAGCATTCCTTAAACGCACCCATTCGGAGCAACCTGGCAATTGCATAATGGCCACTCAGTATGAAAGCACATGCAAATTACAGGGTTGCTGCCTGACAGATTTCCTCCTTGACGGTGCGTTACGAGATCTAAAACCGGCGAGTGGCATGGTGAGCAGTCCCTGAATGATACGGTACCTTCAACGTAATTGTCACTTTATGGGAAGAACGTGCTATTACTGTGTATTTATAGGGTCACGGCCAGGCAATTACAGAGCAGCATCCCCGTGCGTGTAGTGCCCCGCTCCTCGGGAGGGGGGATCTGAGGCTGGCTCTGTGTGAGTGATCTCGGGGCTTCCCAAGGAGACGGCAGCTTCGGTGCCTATACAAAATACCCTCACTGCCCAGCAGAGCCATGGTGGGGATCGGTAACTGTAATGGGATCGCTTCCTCACTGATTCCTGCGGTATCCTGACCATCTCTGACACAAACGACCACAGAAGAAACAGATGGAGCTGCCCAGGACAGAGCTCTACACCGTGTGCCACTGCTGGGACAAACGCTGCCCGCAGACCCAGCATCCTCATCAGTAACAGTTGGGTATCTTTCCCCTATAAAACTCCTGACCACATTAACGACTTGCACTTTTGGGCTCAACCACTGCAGGGAGAACATTGAATGAGAAAAACGTCTTAGAACAAAAAACCCATTAAACCCCTGCAGTGTCACAGTCAGCAAATTCAATACACGTGAAGTGTGACACTGCGTAGGGTTCTGTTCAACTATGGCAAAAGCTTCCACGTTAAAAAGACACATTTCAGGATAGGAAGTAAGCTGCACACAGTCTTCCAAAGCTGAACACAAAAGCTTCCTGAAAGATGAACACAAAAGCATTTCCAACGGGATGTTTCATATCATGTAATATGAAGGAAATCACCTCAATTTGCACCAGGAATAGCTACAAAATAAACTGGAAAAGACCCATCATAACACAGAGGAAAATTATAGTTTGAGACATCATTTCTTTAATGCCAGCTTAAAGGCATGTGCAGAATATGCACAGCTTATAGTCATAGGAACACTTCCACTGTAAAGGAAAAGAATTAAAACACCTGAGACAATTCCAGCTCCACAGATATGCAGAACAACTCGTAACCTGTCAAAGGCTGTGCTTGGGAGCTGTGCCTTCCTGACAGCGCAGCACAATGTGCATTTTAAATGAGAACCAAAGTAAATGACATCAAAGCTGTACAGAAAGGAAGCTAAAATGGTGCCTGCTCAGTGACTTTCATAAAAAGAGCTGTTAGTGCAATGGGAAAGCTGATACATCCCCATACCCCCCAAACACAGCAACAAAACCACAGGTAACGGCCGACCCACTCAGTGACGCTGCCCTGGGGCGGAGGCAGCCCCCGTGGGTGCTCTCAGACCAAGCCGCAGTGATTCACATCCCAGCGCTGCTGCTCCCCACGCCTTCCCCAGCCGCTGCCCTGACCACAGCACCCAGCGCCCCGCACGCTGCCCACACCTCAGCCACAGCAGAACCCGGCTGGGGCCGTGCTGGCCCTGCTCCCCTGCTCAGTCAGTGCCGCGCAGCCCACACCAGCCCCTTCTTCACCCTATGCCCTCTCCTGCACCCTCTTCCCGGGAAAAGCCCCAGGGTCCCTTCCCCCAGGCAGGGGTCAGTGGTAAATCAGGAGGTCCTGAACTCACAAACCCATGTCTGGTACCCATTTGTCATCCCAGCTCAAACAGCTCTGCACAGCACAACCAAAGCAGCGTGGTCTGACCTACCTGTAAATAATGTTTCAAGCAGGTGAGACCATTGATTGTCAGTAAGGACATCTTTAAGTTTTAATTGAGTCTCATCAGCTTAGCATCCAGGGATTCCTCCCCCTGAATGGCACAGTGCTGTTTGAAGTACTACTGGCCTTATTTCTCCAGTGTTCTGAAGTGGTGGTAGCAGAGAACACAACACTCCTAAATCCTACACTGAGTATGTGTAGGGTATGGAAAACAGAGTGCTGCAATGGCAAATCACAGCACGTAACAGGTTGGAAACAGTTACTCTTCAAAATCCAGCCCAAAGCCACTGACATGGAAGGAAACCCTGGCTTTGTCCCTCAAATCTGGTGTACAGCGTTGCCCACCTTCAGAAGAAAATGACTCCTTTTAGACGTGCCAATTTTTACCCATCCATTCCCTATTGACAACATAGGACCTACCAGGAATTACTGAAATGAAGGTGGCAAACAGGCTACGTAGAAACATAAATGGTTTCAGTGTTGAACACAAACGTAGGAAACATTTCATTCTGACATTCACACAGTGCTGGTACCTCCACTGACTGCAGCAGCTCTTACTGCACTCCCAGCCTTGCGACCACACCTACAGGCGTAAAAAGGGGCAAGAACAAAAGGCAAATACTCTACTTGAACTGCTGGTCTTTGGTGCTCCTAGTTTTAGCCAGGAATCTCTCGGCCAGCTTCTCCAAGTTCCTGGAGTAATCCATCTCGATCTCTGCCTTCTTGCGGAAGAAATCCTGCAGGTCCTGCAGCAGCTGGACCCGGAGCTCACACTGCTGGTCAAGGCACTTCAGCTGCTCTACCAACTGGGCACGGATCTCTGCAACAGACAAAAGCACTGAGGATTAGTCAAGGTCTGGTTAGAGAAAGCACCACCAAAATCCTCCATAAAATACGTTTCCTCATCGGTAATGCGTCAGCAAAGCTCCATCATCATTTACTGTGTCTGCAGACGGAAAATGAATGTGATTGCGACTCGGATGCACAGGAAACCCACCCCATAGCCTGCAACACGGTGTGCAGCCCTGCAGGCAAAGCCTCACTGCGGACAGTGCCCGCATTACGGGTGCCAAGTGCATTGCTGGCACCAACAAGCAGCGGTCACTGCCCAAAAATGTACTGAATCTGTCTGGAAAAAGGACTGGATGCTGCAACACCTCACGTCAGCTCCAAGAGTCACTTGGGGAATTTCTATCAAATTCCTTTGCAGTCGCCTCCTGAAGCAGAAACAAGACATTGCGCGGGCTGGGGCGCTCCCCAAAGGCCCCGATTCCAGATTGCTCCATCGGTTACTGAGACTCCAGCTGCGCAGCTCTCGTTATCAACCACGCCATCGAAACCCTTCGAGGGCCAACGTGACAGCACCTCCCGCTGCGGGGTCATCTCTGGGAAGACTATTTTTACAATATCTACAAATTGCTATCTATGGCTTAAGGACCTACAAAGCACACAGATATAGGTGTTAATAGCATTGTTATGCATAATTATTACTAAAGGTATCCATTCGTATTAACACAGACTTTACAAACACGAGCACTGCTCCCATGAGCCCTTTAAGCAGCAAGTGAGCAGTGAGGCCGACCTAGCAAGATCAGCTTCTCTTACTGCTCCTGAATCTGGGGGACAGACAGTGAAATGACTTGCACGTGGTCAAACAAGGCAAGAAAACACAGCAGTCGTGTCAGCCTCAGTCTAAAAACACAGAAATATTCAGTGATGCAGCCAGTTGATGGTATTGGACTTTTACACAGGCAATAAACTCAACACAAAACCAATAAAATCACACTTTCCTCTAAAGGTCTCTGAGCACTCAGACTTCAGAGATGTCTGCTACTGCTCGACTGCTCTTGCTGCTCTTTCCAAAGGCTTTCAGAGACACCTTCCTCCAGGCCGAATGCAGAACCAGCAGTAACAGAAGGAAATCTGTGCATTGCAACCGTAGGCAGCCACCACTTTGTCACCACAACGGAAGATGGGCAAGTGTCATTAACCAAATACAACTTTTTAATCGATTACTCCATTCCTAACTCCTGAGATGCACAATAGTAGAGGCCAGCTTGGCCTCCTCAGCCCTTGTCCCTCTGCCCAGGGAAGCCATCCCATCCAGGCCTGTGAGCACTTCACTCCTGCCGTGCACCAGGAGTATCCATTGCCTCGAGACGTGCTCACGTCTGCGGGAACAGTTTCAGGGGGTCCAGGATTTGCAATGAAGAAAGCACACATCTCTACTTTAGGGACTCCCAAAACCCAAACCACATGTATACAAATACAGCTCCTAGCTAACCTTGCCAAAAAAAACCCAAACCAATCAAAAAAATCTGCCAAAACGTGTGGTGTTTAAGCTTGAAGATGACCTTGATTAGCACTTTACCTTGGCAGCACCAAGTTCGTTATTTTCTCAGGAGAGCGTTTTAGAGAACAGAAGACTTGTGTCTCTTCGTCAGGAAATGCCACTTCAAACAACCACTGCAACTCCGTGCCCCAGCTGATGGACCCTTGTGAGGGGTCACAACCCAGCAAACCGGGGTTCACCATCGGTCACTGAGAAACAGCTCCAGGGGAAAAGCTGAAATCCAGAGAACCACTTCCAAACCAGCAGCACTTCTCAAAGACTGGAGGATCAGCAGAGCAATGTATTCTAATCCTACAATTACAAGGAAGCTCTTGATTTTCAAGGTGGGACACTTCAGACAGCAGCAAGAAGCAGTAACCTTCTCCTTCAGTAAGAAGTGTGATATCAGCACTTTTCCTCTACAAATCAGCTCCCTGTTTCTGGGGAGCGGTGGCCGCTGATGGGGCTGCCCGCAGGGGAACACGGAGCCGCTCAGCCCCAGCTGATGGGGTCTGCGATGCGGGGCTGGAGCGGGGCAACCGCACTCATCTTTCACAACCACCGCCCAGCACAGCCACAGAATCACACCAAGAATGCAGGCATTTCCTGGACTTACTGGGCTTCCTGGAGTATAACGTGTCTGCTTGTTCTCCCTCTGCTTACACAGTAAAAGGTATTTGATTTCAGACCCACCCGAGCACACCGCGGCAGAGCCAGGGGCTGTGCGTGCCCTAACCCCGGTCACCGCCTTACACGGGACCTCTCCACGTCTGCAGCCACAACAACTGCTCTAATCCCGAATTCGCTGCTTTCGCCTCTTTTAATTGACGCAGGTTATTAGGTTAACAGCCACTTTAAACACCAAAACGCCTTCCACCTCCTTTCCTCCTCGAGAACTTGTAGAGCTCAGCAATCCCACCCACCGTGACCATTCGAGCCGAGGCACAGCATCCCAAAGGCCGTGCTCCGGCTGCCAGTGCTTCAAGTGCCTGAAGGTGAATAATTGCACTTAGTTCAAGGTCAAGACGCCTGCAGCAGAATTAGGATTAAACACCAGGTATTCTTACTCTCACACTAAGCCTTGCCCTGCATTGCAGAATACTCCCTATTGTATTTCAAGCTCACGTGGCCGACAACTCCATAATTAAAACATCCCTTGTAGCGACAGAAAAGCTTTATAGCCCTTTAAAACAAACCATTTATTCCCGTCCATCACCAGATCACAAAGTCACCCAGGTCACAGAGGGACAGAACACTGCATAATGCCAAACAGTTGTGTAATTTTACAACAGTAAAATCCTTCTTGCAACCTTCTCAACATTCCCCGTAGCCCTCAGCAGGCAGCTCTTGCTTCTAATGAATTCACAGGGTAAGGACGGATCTCGTGCATTGGAGTCACATTTGTCATTGTCAACATTTATGTGACATTTTTTCCCCCTTTTTAAACTTTGAAGCACACAAAGTATTGATAGGCAGAAACAATACTGCTTTATCATGAAGGTAATTGTCCTTGGAATAAAATGCTGGTATTTCAAGCGATGGTGCCTTCCAGGGAAAGGTCACCAGCAGTTTCCATCATAGGCAAGCTAAGCGAGACACAGCGTTACAAGATAGCACCACACCTGGTCATAGCTTTAAAAAAATCTGGATGATCTTCATCATTCTGGGACGGATCAAGTACAGGAAATTAGTAATAGGTTATCCTTAATTTTAAAAACATTTTAAAAAGAATTGTGGTGCAATTATGGACCTCTGCTGAGCACTGGGGGCTTCTAAAACTACACCAACCAGGAATGGGTTTCAACAAAGCTCCTGGCAAGACTTTGCACTGCCATAAACCAATTACACCCCGAGCAGGCGGATAAAGGCACTTCTGACTGGAGCTACACCTTGCTCTTCTACAGCGTGCAACGTCCAGCTCCTGAACAAGAACTTACCAAGGTGATTTTTATTTAGGCTTAAGCATCCTGTAAACTAAAGCTGGAACCACAGAAACAAAGACATTTCTCTACCAACTTGTTCATTCTTTTGGGTCATGGACAGGGCTTGAAGCACGAACTCAGACCCAGGAGGCCTTGTCCATCATCAAGTGCACTGTGAGCAATGATGCTGCTCCAGACAGGACCATCTCTGGGCAATGATGCTGCTCCAGACAGGACCATCTCCCCGGGCAGGGTTTAACTCTTCCCAGCAATAAAAGGGGACAGCAGCACAGTGAACCGGAGCCTGTACAGCACAGAGAGCCGGGGAAGGCACGGCAGCCTGCGCTGCTGCCCAGGATCTGGCTCCATCGCCCCGTATCTGCTCTGTGGCTTTCTCAGACGCTCCCACCCCTCTCCCAAACACGGCGCTGGATGAAAAGATGACAAGCTTGGGAAAGGAGTGGGCTGGCAACCAAACAGAACCAGCAACCCCCAGCTCCCGCCCAGATTAAACAGCAATCCTCACCCACACAAACCCGCTCCAACTGGCAGCGCTGAGCTCCAAAACCTCCTGCGCCCTCGCCCTGGCTGAGTGGTCCCCATGCGAGGAGCCGTCCTCCTCCCATGCTGATCCATATCAGCTCAGTACAAGCACAGCAAAATCAAAGCAAACCAGAATCAAAGCACAGATGGGAAGGCAGAAACCAGCAGACTCAAAACCTTCATGTGTAGCTCAGTTACTCCGGAGTTTTCGGGACCCCCATGCAGCACAAGCAGCAGTCACGCAGGCCTGGAAGTCACCAAGCATTAAATTGCACGCACAGCGCTAACACCATCTTATCTTTCAGGCTGCTCGGCCGCACATGGGAGACAAAGCAATCCAAAATGAACAAAACCTCCACTTCATACGGAAGGCTGGAGCAGTAATTTTAGATCCTGCGGCTCATCTGTGATGAGCTCCCTAAATCCCCATCTCCTGAAAGCTGCCCCACACTCGGGTGCTGAATGTCAGAGTAAACCAGCAGCAGCACAGGCCTCCTGGTGAAGATCTTTCTAATACAGATGGATAAAACTGTCTGAGGTGCAAGATGAGCGCGGGAAGCTTTGCACTGGTGAAGCACAAGGGGAGAACACCAGACACGCTGAAAAGCAAAAACGAGGTCAGTCTCAGCCTCAGTCTCAGCGCAGCACTGAGGACGCTCATTTTTTATGTCCATACCTACACCTTAATGTATTTGCATCACAAACCAGGCGAGGCTACCAGCTTTCTGGAGACAACAGCACCACTTGAAGGAGCGAGGCCCTGATGTTTTCTGCCCTTACCACAGCTGTGCAACGCCTCCATCGCAGCAAGTTTGAGAACTCCAAGCACCCTTCAATGAGATCCCCACTGAACACTGGGTTTCCATACGAAACAACACCCATCTGCAAGTCACAGACTGCAAACTGGTGCGAGGCCTCAGCTCTGCAAAGCTTTCAAGCAAATGCCCAGAATTACGCAACTGAACATGTTGACAAAGTCGCCAGGGCACTTAATCCACGCAGAAGTCAAATTAAATATTATTT